AAACAAAGAAAACGAATTGTATTATTTGAGCCCTAATTACGGCATAATTAGAAATGTAGAGAAAACTTGAAATTACAATAAAATATTCATTTACTTAATTAATGTGTTATTGATTATGAGTTGTATTAACAAAAAACATAGCATTTACGCAAATCACTAATTAGTAAAACATGATACACTACACACTTTGATAATTATTTGTCATTAAAACAATAGATAATAGCAAAATTTCATATATAAGTGTAAAAATGGTTTTTCGTTTTGTTATTAATTTATGTTGCATTTTTTATATCAAATAAATTTTATTTTGCTAAAAATTAATAATTTCAAAATTTAAATTAAATATAATAAATAAAATTAAAACAACAGTTTAGGCTAAAAATATACGCTTGGAAATCAATATTTGTTGATTAGTTTAAGATAGTTGTGAATGGATTTGCGAAAAACAAGTTGAATCCATAGTTGCCTTACATTTGACTCTTGAATATCAATGTTAATTTTCTTATGATATTTATCTCTATTAATAATCTTCTAATTATATACACTATAAAGAAGTTTACTATAGTTTTCAATGTTTTTTAGTGCCATTTGATTCTCAGTTCCGTTCAAATTGAAGCCATAGTTCTTGTTTCGACATTTTTGGTGTCCGACCGGGTATTTCAGGGTAAAGATATTGAGATCTAATGCACTCTTCATATCAATACTAGAAAACAAGAAATACAACAAAAGGTCTGAAAGAGCCACCAAAACGCCTAATATTAGGCACACATTCACAGGCAGTATCTGAATGTATGAATTGATAATCAGAAATATGGGTCTCATTATGCATATGCTATCCACAAAAGCCATTACTATTCCAATGAGCATAACATTAATTTTATTTGATTTTTTCAATTGATGATTTTAAACAAAATGTCGTTTTGTAAAATAGCACAATTTCAATGATTAAAAATCACTTGTCATATAAATTAAATAATTGATTGCAACTTTATGTGAAATTTGCAATTATCTATACTACACAATGTTTTGAATGCTATTCTTACAAAGTATTAATTTAATAGTAATTAAGTTGTTTAATAGTGAGCTCCGGTATGCGATGGCATATCCAACTGCGAGTCTAATTATTTATAGACATCGACTTCAAACTTATAGCCACTGTTAGCCAACTCTTTATCANAATAGTAATTAAGTTGTTTAATAGTGAGCTCCGGTATGCGATGGCATATCCAACTGCGAGTCTAATTATTTATAGACATCGACTTCAAACTTATAGCCACTGTTAGCCAACTCTTTATCATTACTTTGAACGCTATTTACTATGAGATGAGAATTCATTAATTCAATCGTAAAGAACCGGTAGTTCTCTCGCGATATAAATAATTTATTTTTGGGCCAAACATGTCTATCATTGATATACTAATTATTTTAATTATTCAGTTTATCATTTATTAAATTTTATTAAATAAAATAAAATAAAATAATTCATGAAATTTCAAGTACAATATTTCAATACAAGCTTACAAATGTTTGAATAAAATAAAATAAATAATATTTTTGTCTCACTTATATGTCTTGACTATTAACTATTGTAAAAGTGCCGAGTATTGTATATATGAATTCATTGTTAACTGTTTATAATTTATTTCTTGATATAACATTAATAATATTATACTAATTATTTTATAATAAAAATAACATTAGCATATGTGATAATAAGTGTATAATTTGTAAATAATCAAGTGAACAAGCAGAATTATGTACAAAATATCTGTATTATTAATGAAAGTTTAAGAATCTGTAATATTATGTGAACGCATTGTCACATATTGTGAATCATAAATACTATCGGTTTGAATGACAATATCGTCATATTGTATGTTTGGCTCGTAATAGATATTCTCGGTATTGAAGTCATTGTCATCCATATCCATGAAATCTGGTTTTCCATAATTGACATTCAAGACATCCATTTCCTTGACTTCACTGACTCTGTGTCTGTGGAAGTGTCCATGACATTTGATGAATACAAACACGAGTACAGTATGCAGTAATATAACGCTTGCTATGATTAGTATAAGGGATAAATAATCGGAGCCTGGTTTCTTATCATTGTTTGAATCATTTGATTTCAAATCTGGTTTCAAATCTGATTCGATGTCGCAATTCAAATCATATACCCTGACGTATTCTACTTTGAATACCGGGTCGAGCCAATTTGCATCCAGATCATCGCAGAAAATGCCATCAGTAAGACTACTATAGTTAAAAACTTGAAGTCTAATAACTAATTTAAATTGATCATGAAGGAGTTCTTGGTTATACTGTTTGTAATAATCGTTGAATGTTTCGGCGGAATATTCCTGGATAATTTGACCATCAATTAGAAACTTGAGACTCGATTTACTCCACTCGAGTCCATACACTTGAAATTCAGATTTCCTCAATACCTGATGTCCATTATAATGATATTTGCCATTTATAACATAACTTACTCCATGTTTACTATAACCAGTCTGCATATCACCCATAATATTAATAAAGCCATTGTTACTGATAAGAAGTATGTGCGACATAAGTGGGCAGCCACGGGGTAATGAAGCCTTTATCTCAAACTTTCCGTAAGTGAACAGGTATTTAGATGTGATCTGAGCGGTGGTGTAGTTCTTGGAGTACAAGTGCCGGCGGACAGCTATAAGAAACAGATTTCCATTTTGTATTTGGATGTTTTCTGGACTATTCGTGAAACAACCAAGATCAAGTGGCTCTAGAATATAACATAATATATAAACTTTATTATAATGCACTTAATTTACTTTTATTTTTAATATAAAATGTTTGCCAAAATAGCGGTAACTCGTTATGTTAAAAATACTATATGTTAGAATTGAGCTAGATCAAAACAAAATTTTTTGCAACTATGGTTTTTTTGCACCAACACATCCATATGATGACTTTTGTACAATTCTCAAAGGAACGGTAGGGAACGGTAGTTTTTGAAAATCTTAAATTACTTAAAAAGTATCCAACATTTTTAAGTTTTGATTTTTGGGTTCGATACACAGTGTCAATACCTAAAAACTAAATTCTGGATTTCGCAAAATTTTGCCTTGTTAATTTTTAAATAAACTTTTCTTTTTCAAATTTGTAAACTTTAAGTCGACTTATCTTAGCACTGGATGAATGTATCAGGGTGATTCCAAGTTGATTCTAAAGATCTTTCAAAATCCTAAAAATAATTTGCTTGCAACAAAACTGTAAGTATCACGGCTTATATTTTAATCAAGGTATAAATATTTTCTATGTAGTTTTTAACGAGAGATTTAATTGTTTTACACCTTTACCTGTATAATGAAAATACATAGAAAATATTTATACCTTAATTAAAATATAAGCCGTGATACTTACAGTTTTGTTGCAAGCAAATTATTTTTAGGATTTTGAAAGATCTTTAGAATCAACTTGGAATCACCCTGATACATTCATCCAGTGCTAAGATAAGTCGACTTAAAGTTTACAAATTTGAAAAAGAAAAGTTTATTTAAAAATTAACAAGGCAAAATTTTGCGAAANTCAGATTCTTGTCATTCAATTCCTCACAATTTGAGACATTTATTATGACATTACTTTTGACACACTTTTTACATATAACAAATATTAATACTATAATCAGTACTATAATAACAATTGACATTAAAATGAATAAATGAAAATAATAATCAAATGCAAACGTTTTATCATTTGATTCCATAAAACCCATATCAGTAGGGTAACTTACATTCAAATAATTTTTCACAAATTCACAGACATATTCAGCCGATACATTCTCATACCCGGAAATATTATCATGTTTATTAATATTATTAAAAATACTTTCGCCATCATTATAGCTCTGATTTTTATAAAATCTGATATAATCGACAATAAGTATGGGGCACCTCCACTCCCTAGCCTTCATGTCTATGGTCTCCCGGTGACCCCCACTCAGAGTCTCGTCCACAATAAGCCCAATGCCTATGTGATAGAGTGGATTAAATGTACCCTTTTTAACATAATAATTATAACCGTTAAATGAAAACTTTATTTCAAAACGCTGATAGTCAATTGTGAATGTGTTGAACGTGTCGAGTTTAGTCTTGGGTAAATACCACATTGGCGAGTAGCTACCATTGACAAGTACGCTCGAGTATATTAGATTCTCAAAATTAACGGTCGAAATGAAATCTATGCTAGGGTTGACCAGTATACTATCATCATATGGTAACAAAAATATGGCCGACTTTAGGGCCTGTCCTCCGGGTATAGCGATTCTGGTGTCGATTCTGCCATAACTGAAGAACTTATTGCTCAGAATCGTGGCGGACGTGAAGTTGCGGTTCCGGTGCCGCTCAGGGATGGCAGTGATGGCCAACGCACCCGAAACTAGGCGTATATTTTTAGGATCATCCGTATTGTAACTGATTTGATACTTAAATAGATCTACATTTAAGGCAATGGCAAAGGGTTTAAAGTTATTTATACGTTTTATTAGCATTAAATGCATTCATACCTCTACTTTTATTATTTATAATTAGCCAGTTATTATCATCCAGCTCATCACCATCAAATTCTTCATTCCAGTCTAACGGACGTGAAGTTGCGGTTCCGGTGCCGCTCAGGGATGGCAGTGATGGCCAACGCACCCGAAACTAGGCGTATATTTTTAGGATCATCCGTATTGTAACTGATTTGATACTTAAATAGATCTACATTCTGGAATGATCTAAATAGATATAGATCTGACATTTAAAACAATGTCAAAGGGTTTAAAGTTATTTATACGTTTTATTAGCATTAAATGCATTCATACCTCTACTTTTATTATTTATAATTAGCCAGTTATTATCATCCAGCTCATCACCATCAAATTCTTCATTCCAGTTTAGACTCCATTCAGGTTTGCATAATTTCACAAATAGTAACACCATAAATAAACCATTATAAATCATGTTTAATAATCACATTTTAAATACAATAATTATTTCAACAAATTTTAAAACAAAATATTTTGCAATATACTCCATAAAAGCATATAAAAATTTATACCGATCAAAACAGGAATCAGTGTTCAATTATGGTATAGTTACTTATCCTGTAAATACACCACACTAAATATAAACTGAAAACCATAAAGTACTTATATTATAATTCAATAGATAATATCAATTCAAAAACAGACACCACTTTTTTATGATTTACGTTAATAAGTTTACCATAAAAGCACAAAAATAGCTGAATGAAAAAATAATTCACACATTTTTAACCTTAAAAATAATTAATAATTTCGTAGAATTATAGTGATTGTATCAACCAGAGCAACAAAGTGGTTTAAAATGTTTATTATTTTATGTCAAATATTTGTAATTCTTTATACCCTGTGTCAGGGACATTTCATATTTAGAGATGAATTCAATGGTACTTCACTCGATACTAATAAGTGGCTTATAGAGTATGGAGAAGATAGTTGCACGGGTTAGTATTATATATTAAAAATAAAAGTAAATTAAGTGCATTATAATAAAGTTTATATATTATGTTATATTCTAG